GGCATTTAAGCCATGGTTTACACAGTGTATCTGGGCAAGTTAGTGCAGGAGAAAAGTGGATTCAGTAGGCTACCACAACAGATTTTTCTCCCCCAGATTTTAGTGTTTTCTGCTTTTAGTATGAGTTGGAGAAAGGTGTTTTTCCCCCCCCCCCACTCAATTTTCTTTCTTTTTTTACCCCTATTTGAAAAACAGTTTCTCTATGAAACAAATCTTTGACCCTTTTGTATTCTGCTCCTCACCCCCCTTTCTTGACTGGAAAATACAGCTGCACACATTTTTTGTTTAGAGACAATGGATCACATGCTGTGTCACCTAAATCTATGACCAAGAGGCAGTTTTATTCCTAAGAGACCATAATGCTTCAGTTGTCCTGGATACATGACATCATGTAGCATTTTAATCAAACATACGTCTTGTTGCAGTACATTTGGGATTTGAATCTACCCCCTAATCTCAGAATTGGATTTTATGGGATGGACAGTATTTATAATTGAGAATCTTAATGAAAACAAAGAATGTATTGTTAATTCAATAGAAAAGGTTGTGAGTTCCTTTTATATATCTTCTTTTCTATTGAGGGTTACCAAAGTTAACAGGTATTTTGAGTTAATAGAATATCTTTAAAGTTTTAGCATTTGTTCGGTTTATTACACAAAGCCTTGCAGATAGTATGTGCTCAATAAATGTTACACTTGATTTTTGCTACTGATGTGATAAATTAACAAGAAGAAAATTGTTTTCCTTTTAAAAAAAGGAATAACTCCCAAGATTTAGAAAATTATTAGTATCTGTAAACTGCTAAAATATTTTATGTTGAGCTTATTATAATAAACTTAGTGTACTGTTGAAAAACTATAGGAAATATAATGCAGTGGCTTTCAGTCTTGAGAAATGGTGCCTCATTATAATTAATAAATAAAAATGGTTCTAAAGGAGATTAGAGATGAAAGGAGAGGGAAATTGAATGTAAATTTCTTTAATTGTATAGTATAGCTTAATCAAAGACAATGTTTAACTTACAATAAAGAATTGAGATAATTGCCAGGCAGTTTTAATAAAATTGCACATTTTGTATTTCTATGGTATGCCAAGCTATGTCATATATATTTTTTCTATGAAAAACACTGTTTAGTAATCTGAATTCAGTGAATGATTGCCTATTTCCCTTTGTTAGGGTGTCTTAGCCCAAATCAAATGGTTTTTAATATTGCTTAATTGAAAGTGATTGTATGGGAAAGCCACAAATCTGAAGTGGGGGAGGGGTCTAATCTCTGGTTGCTCTTTTGACATTTATAAGATTGTTTGATTTTCCGATGACATTAAGTTCTTGATGGGAAGTAAAATGGCAAGTCAGTAAAAATAAAATTTCCAAATGTCTTAAGACCATGTAAAATTGACCAAATTGGAAATTGGAGATTCATTTAATTAAACATAACCAAAAATATAGTGATCATTCGTCACATGATTGAGGAATTCAGATCTTTAAAGTAAGTATAGTGAGACTGATTTTAAATAGGAAGTTGGACTAGTAGGTGATGAAAAGATAAAACAACTACATCTGTAAGTCATACGTTGCCATGTAGTTCATGGTTAATCATCTCTTGCTTTAAGCATGGGGCTGACTACAAGTCTTCAGGGTCTCTTGGTATAATTGCTCAAGTGTTGGTTTCAGCTTCTTCCCAGTTCTAGTAGAACATAACAGGTGGTATGGTTCCTTTTCATGCCAGTGTAGTAAAAGCTTTTTAGAAACAGCAAAATTGATTTTCCTTATTACTCTTTCTGGGTAATGAGGAAAGAAATATTCAATGATTGTGTCAGGGGTGCAAGGAAAAAATTAATTGTAATTAATTTGCCTTGGGATATAAAAAATTGACTATCATTTTATTTTGATCTTAATCCTTTTTCAGTATTATATAGTAATGTAATGGATTAAATATAAATTTTTAACTATTACATTATCTTGCAAATAATAACAGATTTTGGCTCTAATTATAATATGGGTAAGATAAAAACAATTAAAATTAAAAAATGTGACATGAAGATATTCAATAATATAATTTGAAAAGCACTTTTTAAAAGTATTTAAACATCATTAACAGAACTAAGTTGATTAGAGTGTATCTTACTAGTAGCCCTGCGCACGAATTCGTGTGCCAGTAGCTCGCTGCCGCCCTCCAGTAGCTCTCTGCCCACTGCCCCGCCCTCCTGTAGCTCCCTCCACCTCCTGCGCCCCCCCATAGCTTGCTGCCCTGCCCACTCCTGTAGCTCTCCACAACCCGCTTGTAGCTCGCTGCCCCACCCTCCTGCTGATCTGTGATCCAGTTGTTATGTGGTCGGTCGTTACACCTCACCACATAACAACCAATTGCATATTACATCTTTATTATATAGGATTTGCTATGGCGCTATATTATTTATTAAAGTATACACTAATTTTATATTCATGAGAATTGCTGGACTGAGAGCCTGATTTCTTGTCACTAAATTTTATATTCATGAACTCATATTTTGAAAGTATTTTAGATTAATTTTGAAATTCACAATATAAGTAATATCTTGAGAGTAGAGAAAAGTTATTATTTTGACTATTTTAACATGATCAGAATTTTGTAACAGGATAGTAGATTCTGAATTAGTTGGATACAAATGAATATAACAATATATGTAGGTATTTATATTTTTGTCCTGTTTTGATTATAGCATTATATTTGCCATATATCTTTTCTTTTTGTTATTGAGAATGTTGTTACTAGTGAAAACTCAACATTTTTATTTCAGAGATAGTGTAGTTATTTTCTTTATTTTTTATGATTTGTGTGTGTGTGTGTGTGTGTGTGTGTGTGTAAGAATGTTATCAGCCAAAGCTGTAAATAAAGGAATTTAGACTTTGCCAGAGGGAGACACTAGATAATAAAATACTAAAAAAGTTCTTAAAGTTTTTTTTTTTTTAACGATGATATTTTAATATATTTTACTGATTTTTTACAGAGAGGAAGGGAAGGAGAGAGTCAGAAACATCGATGAGAGAGAGACATCGATTAGCTGCCTCCTGCACATCTACTGGGGATGTGCCCGCAACCCAGGTACATGCCCTTGACCGGAATCGAACCTGGGACCTTTCAGTCCGCAGGCCGATGCTCTATCCACTGAGCCAAACTGGCTTCGGCAAAAGTTCTTAAAGTTTATGTGATTTAAGTTTACATTATTATTATTATTACTCCTCACCCAAGGACATGTTTTTATTTATTTTTAGAGAGGAGAGAGAGAGAGAGAGAGAGAGAGAGAGAGAGAGAAACATTGATGTGAGAGAGAAACAGCAATCAGTTGCCTCCCATCCCCGACCGGGGATCGAACCCGCAACCTAGGTATGTGCCCTGAGGAATTGAATCTGTGACCTTTTGGTGTAAGGGACTACAGGATGATGCTCCAACCAACTGAGCCATGCTGGCCAGGGCAGATTCTTTTATGTTATTTTAACTAGAAAGATTTGAAGAGTTCTGTCATGTTGCATGATTGGGCAAAAAAAATATTGACATAACCTAAAAACAAATAGAGTAAGGAAGTGAAAGTTGCGTCATAAAGAAAATGATGTCCAAAACCGGTTTGGCTCAGTGGATAGAGCGTCAGCCTGCAGACTGAAAGGTCTCAGGTTCGATTCCGGTCAAGGGCATGTACCTTGGTTGTGGGCACATTCCCAGTGGGAGATGTGTAGGAGGCAGCTGATCGATGTTTCTCTTTCTTTTTTTTTTTTCTTTTTTTTTTTTTTATATATATTTTATTGATTTTTCACAGAGAGGAAGGGAGAGAGATAGAGAGTTAGAAACATCGATGAGAGAGAAACATCGATCAGCTGCCTCCTGCACATCCCCCGCTGGGGATATGCCCGCAACCCAGGTACATGCCCCCGACCGGAATCGAACCTGGGACCCTTCAGTCCGCAGGCCGATGCTCTATCCACCGAGCCAAACCGGTTTCGGCGATGTTTCTCTTTCATCGATGTTTCTAACTATCTCTCTCCCTTCCTCTCTGTAAAAAAATCAATAAAATATAAAAAAAAAAAGAAAAGAAAATGATGATACTTATTGCAGCACTCTTCTGAGAAAGGCCTAATTTCAGTTGGCTGTTTTGCCAATGGGTGTTATTGGTCATGAGGGAGACCCATCCTTAATACCAGAAGATTTTTTAAATTTTGTGCCATAATTTTTTTTTTCTGTGCCATCATTTTTTATTTGAAAAATGTAACATTTGCAAATCTATTACTTTAGGAAAAAATGTAATAATAATTTTAAAAAATTAATAATGACAATAATAATAATTACCGTCTCTATTGCTAGTATTTATTGTACTACCTCTGTTCTAAGTGTTTTATATTTATTCTCATTTAATTTGTACTAACAATCTTATGAAAGTAGGTACTATTAAAATTCTAAATTGACAGATCTTATAACCTATTGTTTGGTAGAGCTGGGATTTGAACCTACGCATATATCTTCACAGGTCAGGCTCTTAACACTCTGCTTCACTGCTTCCAGATGTGATTATAATATCAAGAATAATGATTTAAATTTCTCTTTTATGGTTTTTTATAATATGAAATTGCTTATTCTTTACAATTTCAAATATACTGCCCCCTTAAGTTTCTGTTTAATTTCTCTTAGTGTTAAACATATTAAGTTCTTTTTTAAGGAAGAAGCCTTTCATTTTACAGTTGTACACTATTGCACCATAAAATCTAACAACTATGACAACAGAGCCATGAGTTTAGTAGGAGTAAGAGATCTCATCTTGAAGCTTCTTAGAAAAGGATCAGGAAAGGTTATTCTAAATAATATATATTTACAACACTTCTCTTTCTCTCTCTACCTTTTATCCACATTGCTAGCTGAAGAGACATTGTAATCATAATCCAGTTTGGCTAATATGTTGGCTTTGGAATGAGTTTTAAATTCCTATTACATTTAGGTACTTCTGACATTTTAGAATTAATAATATAATATTTTCTGCTTATCAGGAGCTTACTTATTCTGTATCTTCCACTATTAAGCCACAAATAGACAAAAAGAGACTACAAAGTAGTTGGGAGAAAAAAATTACCAAGTTTATGCATTAGATTTATAAACCTTAAGGTGAGCTCTTTACCCTTATTTGATCTTTCTTAAGTATGATCTTATATGAAATTCTAATGAAATTTATCAGGCTTTCCAGTAAATAATGGTTGTATAATTCCATCCTCATGATTTAGAAATCCAAAATGCTCTGAAAACCTAAAGTTTTCTCATACAGTGGGGCCTTGACTTACGAGTTTAATTCGTTCCGTGACGGAGCTCGTAACTCAAATTACTCGTATGTCAAATCATAAAGTGAACGAGTGAGGCATGTGATGCTGGGCTGATGTTGTGGCGTTCACTGTGATGTTCGCTGCGCCAATTAGCAGTGTCTGAAGCTGGCTCGTAACCCGAATTTTAGCTTGCAACTCAAAGCAAAAAATCGGCTGAGAGATGGCTCGTATCTCGAAAAACTCGTTAGTCGGGACACTCGTAAGTCAAGGTCCCACTGTATTGCCAAAACATGATCTGAATTGATATAAGACTATTGGTGATCTTTATTTAACCCCCTTTTAGTGTGAATATACATTTTGCTACAGAAATATTAACATGTTTGTTATGGGGTGCTGCCTCAGACTTCACTGACACATCATGTAACATATATTTGCATTGTAGTCCCTTTCTAAATTCCAAAATACTCTGAATTCTGAAATGTATCTGTCCTTAAAGATTTTTGCTAAGTGGTCATACACCTGTATAATCAGGTACAGTGACTACAGTACAAATGAGGGCTAGGATATTGAACTAAGATTAATCCAGTAACTCAAACTTAGCAATATGAGGCCTTTAGTGTGGAGCAATATTTCTTAACTTAAATAATATATAGATCCTTCTTTAGAAAAAAAATTATAGATCCCATTTTGAGGAATCACTGACTTTAGTTCCTCGAGTAGTTTTAAGTCTTTTTATTTTTCTCTTTGAAAACAGTAAAAATACATTTTTATACTGTTATTGAAATGAAAGCAAAAAAATGAAAATTTACAAAGCTTTTGTCCCCAGGAACATCCTTGGGACATTCTGATTTGAGAAACACTGATAAACTGGCAAATAGTCCTATATACTTTAGCATCCTCTATAAGTATTATTTTTATCAGGAGAGTAATACTTGTTTATAATTATGGACTGAATCATAGTTAAGGGGTTGAAATAGTTTTACTGTATTTAAAGAGTATGGTTTTTAAAAGTGATGAAAGCATCCTCTTTTTAAAAATCAGCACCCAATTTTTGATAATCAATTTCAGCCTCCAGGGAAATGTTCTGTACCTAATTCCAGTTGGGAATCACTGTCATAATGAGCAACTCTTACTGATAGCAGTAAATCAAATTCCTCCAGTATGCAGAGGCAGAAGAAATTTAAGAACCAATGCTCTAACATACAGGCTAATGCGTATTAGAGATATTGCCATTGGAAACTAATGTAAAAATCTGTTTTCCGCAGAATGGTGAACTAAATATCTGGACCAGCCTTTCTGCTGAAAATAACCTAACATGCATCAATGTTCTGGCACAGAATAAAGAATATTTAGACCAAACACTAATTAGAAATCTAGTGAGAGGTAAGCTGAGTGCTGAAGCTGGCTATTGCCTTGAAGGTATTTACCAAATTAAGTGAACTTCTATTTTCTGGCTTTGTGGGGCTCAGGGATTAGAAAGCAAAACCCAGACCCAGCCGAGGTAAAACATCAAGCAGGAAATAGTCTTCCCCATTAATTTGGACTTCCATAGGTCTGTACATTTTAGGTGTAAGAGTGATCTAGAAGTTCTTTGCCTTAGTGTCACCAAGGATAACAAAATGATCTTTCTAGATTATTTCTGCTAATGGGAAAAATAATATCTCTGCTGAAAATGTATTAACACAAACCAGCCCTCACACTGGCTTGCAACCTGAATTCACACTGAACCTCAAGCTAAGAATGTAAAAGGATCCTGGATTGTTACTTTCAGGAGCCTGACATAAGCAACATGAATCATCATCATCAAATAATTCCCATTGGTGAAGTTCTAATGAAACTGATTATCTTATAATAAAAATGTATAAATCATCTAGGGAAAACAGGGCATAATATAAGAGAATTAGAAAAATCAGACCTGCAAATAGTTCATCTTGAAATTATCAGTTGTAAAATATAAAATAAGTATTTTTAATATATTCAATGAAAACTTAAAAGTGAGGAAAAGAGCAGACACTTTGTAAAAAAATCAGAAGTTTTAGAAATGAAAATATACAGCAATTAAAATTAAGGGAGAGATAAAAGCAAATAGATCCCATTGAATAAAAATTAATATAATGAAAGATAAATCTGAAAAGTCCAGAAAGCAACACAGAGAGACAACAAAATGGAAAATAAAAAGAGCTTAATAAAAGAGAAATTTTTTTGAGAAAACACAGAACACCTTCAAAGGACTACTAGGTTTCAATAACAATAATGGAAGTAGAAGACCACAAAATGATATACTCAGTGAAAATAGGTCTCACAACTATGACTCATAATTCAAGTTAGAGTTCTATAGCTAGCAAAAATACATTTTAAGAACAAGGGCTAAATAAATACATGCTCAAAGAAATAAAACCTGAAAGTACCCTAGCAGACCTCTTTTTAAATAGAAGGGAAATGATGTAGAAAGTCTGAAATTAAAAAAGGAATGGTAAAAAGATTGGTAAGTGGTTATAACTACCATTTTATGTTTAGGAGATTCCTTGGTTATTTGGGGCAACAACTCTAATACTGTATAATACAGCATTTTATTTTTAGATAATTCTGTGGCTCAGTTTTCCTTCTCTTGTTTAGTCTCTGTCATGTGTTTCTTCTCACACCAGTGTTAATAACCAACCTAAGCAAAAGTGCTCTCCTCTAATCTTTTGGGAAACGATCTAAGAATTCCAATATGACATTTTATTTTTCTTGTCCTAGAATAGATTATCACTGTAATATTGAACATAACATGCAGACACCTTGAGAGATGCATGAGCTGCACAGCTATGGAAAAAATGGTACATTTGAATTCTGAACCCTCTTCTGAAGATATTGCCGTGGCCCTTCTACAGTGAAGCTCTAGCAGGGGTTCTAGAGAGATTGTACTGGGTTTATTTAAACTCTTTTAAAATTCTCCTGTGAGAAGAAACTGATCTTTCTGAAATGTAGAAGATTTGGAGTCTACATTTAGCAAAATGTGTATTTTGCTAAAATTGTCTTGTATGTTTACCTACTTTTTTTTGGTAGCAACGTCTAAGTTTTAGAAATTAGTTTATTAGTGGGTGTATTCATTACTTGGGTTATGATAGTTATAAACCTAAGAAATTAGAGTACTCTTTTTTTCAGACCCCACTTTATTTTCTCTTGGCATTAAATGTTCATTTTGAGTGATGTTTATTATGTGCAACAACTATTATGTGGTTTGTTGAAGGATTGTTCTTAAAGGATTAAGAAAAGGAAATAATATATCTCTAGCTTAGATTTCCTTTTATTTAATTGTTTTGCTTTATGAAACAAACTTTCATACATATTATTAATCATCTGCTACTGAATGATTTCAGTTCATTTTAAGAAGTAGTTGCTCATAAATCTAGAATTTTCCAAATAAATAAAGCGTAAAGGTTTCTTGATTTGGGTATAAATTCTACAGACCTTTCTGTTGTGATATTACATATAAATATTTTTTAAAATACTAAAATTGTGTACAGCTCCTGGGGTAACTCACCCAAAACATCTGAAAGTTGGTAACCAGAGCACTAACAAAAAAATAAATCTTAATAAGAATACTAGAATATTTTAAAAGCTATACTAAATTTTTTACAAATAAAAAATGTAGTTGATTTAGGACTTAAAAAGGTGAAATTAGCCTGATGGAAGTGTCTGCAAATACAGGGTTATGGAAGTCATAGTAAAATGCATAAAATTTTGAGAAGAGAGCTCATTAAGCACTGACAGGAAAATACATATGGCCAACCTGTGCCAAAAGGAAGAACATGGGTTGAATGAGAATTGTGTACAGTACTGTGTTTTCAGCAGCTTGCTGCTTTCCACTGTGTTAGCCTTTTTGGGGTTCAGCTGTTGTTATTTAGCGCAAAAACATAGGCTGGGAAAAATTATGTACAAACCAATGTGATTTTCACATTGTAGTAAAATAATTCCCTTATTTACCCATGAACTAATTGGTGTTACAGAAAAGCTTGGTGATAGAATAGGCTGTACTAAAATTATGAGGTGACTTCTGTTTTTGACTTGAGGACTTCGATAAGTCCAAATCTTTTTATGATTTGATTTTTGTGTGAAATGAAAACACTACAACTAAAAGTAATCTAGCACTACCTTTTCCCTCTTGAGTTTTTATTTTTTAATTATATTTTTATTGATTTCAGAGAGGAAGGGAGAGGGAGAGAGAGATAGAAACATAAATGATAAGAGAGAATCATCATCGGCTGCCTCCTGCACACTACACTCCCTACGGGGATGGAGCCCACAACCCAGGCATGTGCCCTTGACCAGAATCAAACCCGTGACTCTTCGGTCAGCAGGTCGACACTTTATCCACTGAGCCAAACTGGCCAGGGCGAGTTTTTTTATTTTATTTTAAACTATAAAAATAATGAACACATTACAGAAATACTGGAAAATAGAAGAACAAAGAAAAAATTACCAAGTTACTAATGTAAATGACAGTAAGCTATTTGTTTTATTATATATATATTGCTTTCAAGGAGGAAGGGGAGGAGATAGAGAGAGATAAAGAATCACTGGCTGCCTCCTGCACACCCCACAATGAGGATCGAGCTTGTAACCCCAGCATGTGCCCTGACCAGGAATCGAACCCTGACCTCCAGGTTCATTAGTTGGCGCTTAACCACTGAACCACTCTGGCTGGGCTACAGTAAGCTTTTTGTATATTTGTTTGTTTGTTTTTTTGGGTTTTTTTTACCGTTTTTTTTGTTTTTTTTCAGACTTCAAATCTAAATCTATTTGATACTGAAGTCCAATCTATACACTTTCTTCATGGAGTTGTTATTAGGCTTTTTTTAAACTAGTTTTAACAAAGCTTTTTTGTTTACCGTGGTCTTTAAGACAGTAATTTTTAATGACTACTAAATAAATATTAGATTGAATAGGTGTACTTTATTTTTCTTAGGTATCTATATATATAAAAGGCTAATATGCTAAGTGTCTGTCTGATCAGTAGCTATGATGCACACTGACCACCAGGGAGCAGGTGCTCAATGCAGGAGCTGCTGAGCTGCAGTGACTTGACAGTGATGGTTCTTAGGTGACGCACCCCGAAACCAGAGAGGAGGGAGTCCAATACCTTATGGGGCCGCGCGATTCCACCTTTGGCTGGGCGTGGGTTATGTTGTTGTTGGGGCACTGTCGGCCTCGAATCTGGTTTACTGCACACTTGCATTTGCGTTCCACACCCTATTCAACAACAACTTTTCAGAGTGCCCTCTCGCACTCTAGGACCCCTTGGAGGATGTCGGAGAGCCAGTTTCGGCCCAATCCCTGCAGGCCAGGCCAAGGGACCCCACCTGCCGGAGGGATCCCACTCACTCTGCAGACACCCCAGGTGCGGCAGGCTGGGGAGGGACCGAGGGAGGTTGGCTCCAGGGCATGTTTGGCCTGTCTTGCCCAGTCCCACCCCACCGCCCACCTTCTAATTAATTTCCTTTCAATGTGCACGAATCCTTGCACCAGGTCACTAGTTACTCTATAATAAGAAATGTGAGTTGTTTATAGTTTCTATTATCTTTCATAATTCTTGGATGGACATCTGTGTGTGTGTTGTGTAAGAGAGAGGAAGAAAGAGAAAAGAGGATCTCTTACCTTACATATGATTATTTCACTGAAGTGACTCATAAGTGGAATTACTGGGTTAAGGAATATGATATTTTTAATGATTCTAGGTGTATATTGCCAGCTGGCTGTCCAAAATGGCCTGAGGCCCTTGCCCCAAATTGTATATATTTGTAAACCATTGCTAATTTGGGCAAAGATAGATACTATTACTTTTATTACTACTAGTATTTGTGCCTATTGCATACTAGGTACTGTATTAAATTATAATATTTAATATCACATTTTGTTTGCTTTGCATTTCTGTGATCATCAGTGGAGTTCAATATTTTCTACATTTATTTTCTATTTATATATAAATATTTGTGAAAAAGATTATTTGCCTATTTTTTGTGATAGACTTAGTGTTCTAAGTGAATGGTGTTGAAAAGTATTCTGAAATGATAGTTTAGAAACATTCCTCTTCTCCCCTTGAAAATACAGTGACAGTTCAAACCTAAGAGTATATTAGCGTTTCACTGCCAGTTCTTGATTTTTTAACTTTGCTTGGCTGTAATCTTTGACATATTTGATGACATAATATTACTTTATAGCTTCAAATAATAAGATTTTATTCTAAACTTGTAATTCAGAGAAATAACATGCATTTGCAACCATCTAAATTAGTTTCTGTCACTATATATTCTCATATCTGTCAACAGTAGCTATTTGTTTTAGATAGTGTTGCTAAAATATAAATTCCTTAAGAGATCGAGTGTACTTTAATGGACAAAAAACTTGAGTATTGAACTCAGCCTGGTTTATAATTTTGGCTCTCCTTTTTATTAGCTTTAGAACTTAGGCAAATGCCTTATTTCATTTTCATTTCCTTATTTATAAACAATGAATTTCAATTTTCTGATTGTTACCAGTGAGCATGTTTCCTAGCATTAAGAATTTGTTTCAAAAATAAATAACTCTTAAAGGTAGATAGCATAGCACTTGGTCCAGAATAGACATGTATATTGATTATTGGTTAATTTCAGTTTTAAATAATTATGGTTTGATTGCTTACTCATGCCCAACATTTTGTTAAGATTCATTAGAAATACAGAAGTAAAAGACTCTTGCCCCGTATGGAATTCACAGTCAAAAAGAAAGGATGAAGCATAGAGCTAAGTAGTAGGGAGGAGTAAGTAGAGATGATGCATTTCAAAGCCCATAGCATAGTGTCTGTAATATAGTAAAATCTCAGTAAATGTTAGTCAATGCTATTTGGTACTCTCTATTTTCTATATGTAATTGAAGATAAATGGAGGGAGATATAGGTGAAAAGGCAAAAGTGGACCATTAGAAATTAGTCATTTCCTTCTTTGTACAGTAAATACTAAGATATAGTTTTTAAAGGAAACAAGACTTTCTTCAACAAATTAATTCTCATCCATCACAGTTTTAAAGTTTTTCTATGGGTAAAAGACTTATTGCATGCACATGTGCATATGTTTATGTGTGTGTGGTTTTCATTACTAATTGAAATAAACATCAAATTAATTATAGTTTTATCTTTTCCTTTTTACAGTGTCTTGGTGTGTGAAGTTATAGATATAGGTGTATGTGAGAGAGATAGGAACTGGTTATGGAGAGAACAATGATAAAATAAAAAATGGTGTATATATACTGTCACCAGGATAATGTAGTGGTTCTGAAGTCAGTCTGCTGGCATATCCAGTTGCTAGCCAGACAACCTCAAACAGGATGTTTAACCTCTCTGAATCATTTTCCTTATCTATAAAATTGGGTTAATAATAGTGCGTACATTCTGGGTTTAACTCATGGTTACTTGAGATATAATAAATAGCTGACTCCCAAATTATTAACTACTGCTACTGAAAATGGAGTTCTCTAAGACTATACCTACTAGTGGCTACCAGAATTCAAATACTGCTCTACATCTAAAATTGACCAATTTTCATAATTCTTGGGATAACCTGCCAGCTATATTCTAAGTAAAGGAAAACTTTGGAGGTACTTATCTTTCAGTTATATAAGCATAAGTATATTGACTAGACTGATGGAAAACATAGAAGTTTTTTCACTGAATTCAGAAATGAGGTACTTTTCTGAATCATTAAATAACTTAAATAGCACTTTAGCTCTATCACTTTCTTCTTTGGTCAGTTATTCTCCCATGATAGGGGTTTTGAGTTGAAGTGTGTTTAAAAAGCAAAAGAGAAGTCATTTGAGAAAATAGAAATACAAACAAACAGTTTAGAAATGTTTTTTTCTCTTTGAAAATATAGTAACACTTCAAACTTTATTAAGAGAATGTCACCCTTACAGTCTCAGTACTTGATAAGATTATAGAGAATGCAGATGTAAAAACACTGGAATTTACAAAAGAAATAACATAATAAATATAATTTTACTGATGATGAATAAGAAATATTGTTATAGTATTATAATGTAAAAATATGAGAAATGGTTTCTCTCTTTATAATATTTTAGATTTCAGGAAAGGGTTTATTTGGAATATTGTTTAAGTACTCAAAATACATTATTTAATTTTGTTTATATCACTCATACAATATGGTATTATAATGCTGCATTATTTACAGCCATATCAAAATGTGAAATTCTCTTTCTCATATTGTAAATTTTAATTATATAAGTACTATGCTTAAATATTATGTGGGATAATTGCAAAATTTCTCTGATTTGGGGATATTTAAATATGCATTTTATTTTTTCATGAGCCTAAGAATCTTAAGCATTACATTGATTGATAATTATTTCCTTTGTTGCAGAACTATAAGAGTAAATGGGTCCAATAATTGGAATGACTCCAGAAAAGAGAGCTGAAACTCCAGGAGCTGAAAAGGTTGCAGGATTAAGCCAGATTTATAAAATGGGAAGCTTGCCTGAAGCTGTTGATGCTGCCAGGCCAAAGGCCACTCTAATGGACTGTGAATCAGCAGATGATGAGCTTACAAACTTGAACTGGCTTCATGAAAGTACTAATCTTCTAACAAACTTCAGCTTTGGAAGTGAGGGTCTTCCAATTGTTAGTCCTTTGTATGACATAGAGGGAGATGATATGCCATCATTAGGACCATCTTGCTACCAGAACCCAGAAAAAAAATCAGCAACTTCAAAGCCCCCATACTCTTTTAGTCTTCTCATTTATATGGCTATAGAGCATTCTCCAAATAAATGTCTGCCTGTCAAAGAAATTTATAGCTGGATTCTGGACCGCTTCCCATATTTTGCTACTGCACCAACAGGCTGGAAGAATTCTGTTCGACATAATCTGTCCCTGAATAAATGTTTTCAGAAAGTGGAAAGAAGCCATGGCAAGGTCAGTATTATGAACATTGCTATATTTGGGGAGGTTGGGGAGAGCTAACATTGAGACCTTAAAATATGGGGAAATCAAAGGAAGACAAAAATAGCCAAGTCAGATTACTTCAGCTTGATCTTAATTATATTCATCATTTGCTTTCAGTCTACCATAGGTACATAAATTAGTGTTTTTAATGATCCAGTTTTCTGTTTGTATAGTGTTTCTATCACTATCAGTATATTATTCTTATTTATGTAGTCTTGCAACCATTGCCTAATATTGGAATGTAGATCATTTATAGTAACGCAATTGATATGGTTGAATTAAAATCTATTGCTGTGCTATTTGTTTTCTATTTGCTGTGTGTTTTTATTCCCTTTTTCCACTTTCCTGCCTTTTGAATTGAATACTTTTTATGATTCAATTTTATCTCTACTATTGGCTTATTAGCTATTACTCAAATTTTTTTAGCAATTTATTATATAATTTTCAGTATATATATATATATATATATATAGAGAGAGAGAGAGAGAGAGAGAGAGAGAGAGAGAGATATGTATGTATATATAGGTATATACATACATGTATCTCTATATATAACTTCATCACATTCTACCTTCAAATAATATACCATTTCATTTATTATCTGGACTTTTACAGAAAAACTTGACTAATCCTGATGTCCTATCTGGATTTTTTTTTTTTCTTGGAGAAGATTATATAGCATTTCTTGTAGTTCAGGTCCACTAGCAATGAAATACTTTTTTCAACCATTTTATGGAGGAGGGCTATAGAATTCTAGGTTGGCCGTTTTCATAGTAGTCCCCTCATCTGCTGGAGTATGTTTCAAGACCTCCAGTGGATGCAGATAGTATGGAACCCTAAATATATGAATATACTATTTTTTTCTATACATACATACTTATGATAAAGTTTAATTTTATAAATTAGACACAGTAATAGATTATAACAATAACTGATAATAAAATAGAACAGTTGCAATAATATATTGTAATAAAAGTTATGTGAGTATGGCCTCTCTTTTTCTCTCTTGAAATATCTTACTTTACTATAATCACTCTTATTTTTGTGAATGAAATGCCTACAGGATTAGATAAAGTGAGATAAATGGTATAGGCATTGTGACTTAATGCTAGGCTACTATTGACCTTCTGACCATACATCAGAGAAGAATCGCCTGCTTTAGGTGATCCTGGATCATTGAACCATGATAATCTTGATAGTTTGATGTCAAGAGCAGATGATATCAATGGTTGAGGAAACTGAATATTTTTGGACTGCAGTTAACTGCAAGTAACTGAAACTGTGGAAAGTAAAACCACAGATAAGGGGGAACTACTGTACTTTAAAGATGTTGTTCTCTTGTCTTTAGTTTCTAATGAGAAGTCTACTGCATTCTTATCTCTGTTCCTCTGTTATGTTTCTTTTTTAGCTGTCTGTCTTTAGGATTCTTTTTTTCCCCCCACAGGAAAACAGATCCATTTTATTTATTTTTAGTAAGTTTAAATCCTTGAGGGGTACAGCATTACACGGATTCTGTGTCGAGTAGCCTTAGCAGGAAGGTTGCTTCGGAATTTAGCACGAACCATTCCACTGTTTCCATGAGCACAAGTTACCTTTCCTCAGATTACTCTGGTTTGGTTTGGTTTGCCACCAGGAGTCACTGTGTTCTTTGCTTTGTACTGCACATAAGCACATCTCTTGCCTAGATAGAATTCTGTTTCATCTCGAGCATAAACACCTTCAATTTTAAGAAGAGCTATGTGCTCCCTCTGGTTCCAGAGACCCCGCTTATAGCCAGCAAAAATGGCCTTGGACCACAGCCTTCCAGACATATTTGTCCTTATAGAAGTCCTGTTCCCAGCAGGCCAGCAGTCCCACAACTCCTCCATCCTGTCCTCCCTATTACTGGAACCCCTCAAAATCAATGCCTGGCAGAGCCTCCGTGCCCCAGCAGTGCCTCCTCGAGATGTGGTGGAACCCACTCCAGTTATTTACCCTCTAGGATCCTTTGCATTATCACTACTTTTCAGTAGTTTCCCTATGACGTACTTAGTTGTGTTTTTCTTTATTTTTATCCTACTTTGGTTTTTCAGAGGTTTGTGGATCTGTGGTTGGTTTTTCTTCTTACGTTTAGAAAAATTTTGCTCATTGTCTCTTCAAATATTTCTTATGGCTCACTTCCTACTTCTGAGGCGCTAAGTAAAAATATGTTAGACCATTTGCTATTGTCTCACCTATTAGTTGCTGTGCCCCTTTTTCTATTTTCTCTCCCTTTATTTCAGTTTGGATAATTTTTATTGCTCTTTATACAGGTTCACTTTTTCCTCTGTTGTGTTCGTTCTGCTGATAAGCCTGACAAAGAATTTGTCATACCTTTTATTTCTAGCATTTGTACTTACCTTTAAAAATATTCTCCATCTCTCTGCTAAAATTTCCCACTAGATCTATAAATATATTAGTCATAGTTGTGGTATCTGTCCAATAATTTCAATATCTGGTCCATCTCTGGGTCTGGTTTTGTTGACTGTTTTGTCTCCTGTTTTTTTCGTGTGTGTGTGTGTGTTTCATAATTTTGGATTGAATGTCAGTGTAAGATATTGGTAGAGACTAAGGTAAATAATATTTCTGCCCAGAAGTAGACATTGCCTCTACTTTTATTAGGTTGTTAGTGTGAACAGGCATTTGTCAATCTAGTTAATAATTGAACTGAGATTGGGTTTTGTGATTGTCATAGTTACCTTCAGCATACCACAGGCTTCAGATCCCTACAGAGATGGACTGCCAGTACTTTGTGCTTAGTGTGAGAACTGGAGTATCAGATGATTTTTCTTAGTGTTTCTATTTCACCTTTATCTTTCAGCTTGTGCCACATTTGGGGGCTGGAGGGGAGTCTGGACATTTCTTCTCATGCTTTTGCCCCTCCAATAGCAATAGATTGTTATTGCTTATTACTTGGTGCATGGCTTTTTTTTTTTTTTTTAAATGACCGCTACTGCCCTAACCGGTTTTGCTCAGTGGATAGAGCATCGGCCTGCGGACTCAAGGGTCCCGGGTTCAATTCCAGTCAAGGGCATGTACCTTGATTGCAGGCACATCCCCAATGGGGAGTGTGCAGGAGGCAGCTGATCGATGTTTCTCTCTCATCGATGTTTCTAACTCTCTATCCCTCTTCCTTCCTCTCTGTAAAAAATTAATAAAATATATTTAAAAAAATAAATAAAATGATAGCTACTCTGCCTTTTTAAAAAATATATATATTTTTAATGATTTCAGAGAGGAAGAGAGAGAAACATCAATGATGAGAATCATTGATCGGCTGCCTCCTGTATGCCCCCTAGTGGCCTGTAACCCGGACATGTGCCTTTGTCTGGAATCGAACCCCAGACCCTTCTATCTTCTATGCTCTATCCACTGAGCCAAACCATCTAGGGAGGTACAAGGCTTTTTAAGGTGGGTTTTTTAGTTCTTCTGTTCCCATTTTAGTCTTAGCAGGCGTATGAATGCCTCTGACTCATGAGTGGGTTTTTTCTTGCCTACTCCAGGAGCAGACAGTTTCTCCCGACTATTCAGAGTGGAGTCTAGAGCTGCATTCATCACTAGCCAACTATCTACATGTGGCTACTGGTTGGTATATTGGACAGCATAGATATAGGATATTTCTGTTATTGTAGAAAGTCCTACTGGACAGCGCTGTTCCGGAGCTCAGGCCAGCTTCCTGCTTATTCCCATTATGGTAGATAAACTGGCTAATATCAGTGGGATGTCTTAGGTACAAGTGAGTGACCATTTCTTTTCTCAGTGTAGCAGATTTGTGCTTTGTGTTATTGGGGGATCTGGGCATGAGCAGATTTTCTGCCCTTCTCCTAATGACACATGGCACATTGCCATGTATGAGGATACTTGGTTTTGTACTTCTCTTCTAGCAGCAGCCGTCCTTTGCCTAGGACTGAGGTGAGTAGGGTATTTTGTCTTTCTCTCAGTAGCAGACAGCTTTTGCTTAATTTTGGAGCTTTGTCCAGAATATTGACAGGTTGTGTGCCTGTCCCACAGGAATACCTGATCTCACCTTACGCTCATTCAGGGCCAGCAGTATGGATGAGGTTTGTCTTGCTAGATTCTATATATCTATCTTCATTTCCAAGGATGTCTCTTTTAGGTCTTCTGCACTGCCCACAGTCTTTCTCTGGAGCATAGCATGGAGGTTCATGGAAAAATACTGACTAGTGGATGAAGACTTTTTCCTGCCTGGGAATGCCAAGGATGCTAACTTATCTTGCTAGCTCACACTTGGCTTTTAAAAATTTGCTAAATTTTGAGTAGTTTTTTTTCTTACCTTCTTTATGACTACTACTTCTTCCATGCTCTGCCAATGGTAAAACAGCTCACATGTTCCATTAAAACAGTCCACATATTCCATCTCTCCTGATTGATCTCTGTCACAGTTTAGAATTCAGTTCCTTCAGTTGTCTTGCAGTTTTAGCTCTCAGATGGACTCATAAAAAATTATGATTTTATAGATAATTTTGAGTTTTTGGTTTTTTTTTTAATTAGACTGGGAGTAATGTTCTCTTATAGTTTACTATTCCCTAACTGGCAGCAGAAGTCTATTCTTAAGTGAAATAAAAGTTAAAAGAGTAAGTAATTATATTTTTAGGTGATTGAAGGATTTTCTAGGATAGTGCTGTTCAAACTTAAATGTAGGATCTTGTTAAAATGTAGATTATGATTCAAATCTAGGATGGAGAATGAGGCTTTTATTTCTAACAGGCTACCAGGTGATCGTGATGCCGCTAGCCCATGGACACACCCTGAGTAGCAAGACATTATGACATATCATCATCTTATAGCTAACTTACAGGAGGTTGTATTAGTTATTTATTGCCATGTAACAAATTGCTGTCTCATATTCTGTACTATATACATGGAATATTTACAAAGACCAACTATGTATTAGGCCATCTTAAAAGCCTCAATAACTTTACCGGATCAAT